ACTAGTGTATCCACATGATCAGGCTGAAACCAGCCAAAGTAATCAGGTCTCAGGGATGGAAAGTAGGCACAACAGTAATGAATCAAAAGGCTTATAAAGCTTTTAAATTGCTATTTCATTCTTCAACAGACAAGCATGGCTATCAAGGTTTAACTGCAGCAGAAGGACTTATTTATTTTATTTGAGAAACAGGCACTTCTCTGAAGCTCTCTATTAGTCGATACATCAGCTTGTTCATGTTTTATGTTGTTTTTCCAATATACAGTTGGGAAAGGAATAACTGTGCCTGATGATGCTGATGTGTACGCCTGTAAAGTTTTAAATGCAGTTCTGGTATTTAGCCTTTAAACTTAATGAGATTAAACACAGAATCCATCCATACAATTTACCCTAATGACTGCTTTGTAGTTGTTTTCGGCAGCCAAATCGTGTCACGGTGTCTGCCATGGTCGGGCAGCAGAAGCTACTTTTGGAGGAGAAAACAGGCTGGGAGCCTCCTGCTGTGAACTCACACGTGGCCAAACTGCCCAGGAGTGGGCTGAGAGGCTGCCAGGCTGTGGGGAAGCCCCCGTAGGGACCTCCTCACCTCAACACTTTGCCCTTCATGGTCAAAGCTGTACTTGTTCCCTGCATCTGCAGCAGGGCTGGTCTCAGCGTGTCCCCTCCAGAGCCCCTCTGTGAGGAAAGCCCATGCTCTGCATGGCTTCTGCCAAGTTAAGAATTGGGGTGTTTGCATTTTTTAACATCAAAATAATGATAAGCTCATCACCCGGACGGTGGATAGCAGCACAAACTGCCTTTCTGCTAGTGTAACTTCTCTCCTTTCTGTTTAAGACAGCGTTACGCTGCTGTGACAATTTTTACTGGTAGGGAAGTAACTGCTGTGTCCGAGGCTGTGGTGAGGGTGAAACTATGGGGTGTGATTTACCTATAACCAGTTAAAGCAGTGAAATTTCTGTGTGAAAATGTACTTTGAGATTTACAAATACTGAGAACCTGTTGTTTTTATTACTCAAGTCAAAAATCCTCTGTGGGTGGTGGAATGGGGTCAGCTCACTGTGACTTTTTTACACACAGACAACTTCACCCTGCAAATGCTTTCTTCTCCCCCCTTCTCTTTATCCTGCCCAAGTAGCTAATAACATAGATCCAAGCTAAGGAAATGCAACTGCAGCAAGGTCTTAGCTGGCAAATAAAGCTATGCATAGCCCCTGCCCTGCTATGCTGGGGAATGAAACCCATGGGATGGTCTGTGTGGGTTGGGCACTGACTTCTTCAACATGAGCAAGCAAAGACCTGTGGGGCCCAGCAAGCTCTGTGAGTTGTTGGGCTTAATTTCGTCTTGGAACCAAATCTTCACAAGGATTGGGACAGGGAAATCTCCTTCTAGATAATTTTCATTGTCAGTGTAATCATACTTTGACAGTGGGTGCTTCTGAAAGGCTTTGGAGGGTTTGGTAACACCAGTGATCTGTATGAGAGGACTGGCTGAAGAATATCAGGTGATGCTTATACAATGATACATGTTAAACCTTTGTGTGGATAGTCTCTTTTGGGCTCAGTGTGAATTTAGTCTGCTGTAGCTGAATACTGATAGTTTAAAGCAAGAATAAACCACGGCCACTCCACCAATGAAGAAGAGATCTGCAGAGATGTACTGACCTTTTGTTCATCACTTTAGTTTTCTCACGCATCTCATGCAGATTTATACAGCAAGTCCCATGCAGTGCGATTTTACAAAAATGTATTTAATTTTTATTAATAAAGATCATTGAGAGTAACCTGGAAGGATCAGATTAGAGATGGACCCAGTTCACTCTTCTTCCAGAATAGGACTGTGTCCCTGTATGGCTTTTTCTACATGAGTGGGAACATCCATCTCTCAATACAAGTGTGTGATTCCTACAATGTGTCAAACTGAATAAGAACATGTTGTCTATAGATCTACAGTAGGTGTATGTAAAAATACATACTAGCATTTTGGAGCACATTCAAATTGGTTGCTAAGCCACAGTGAAAAATGGTCAACAAACAGTGAAAGAACAATTTTACTTGGCATTTTATTCACTTAACAGAAACATTCACTTATCAGATATCACTGAAGTGCAATTTACAGAACTTAGCAGCAAATTCACATATGTAAATTCAGATTTATTTTCTTTTGTTGTCTTTTTTGTTTCATTTTTTTTTTTACAAATATTACAAATGTACATCCATTAGTACAGTATTGCCATTCACTCATGCGTGTTATGTACAGACTCTTCACTAAAGAATTACTACTGAGCAATTTTTCCTTTGCTTCAGGAAATGCTGTGTAGGTCATGTGTGCTTCTGGGATGTGGTCCCATCACGCTCTGTCTCTGCACATAATGAGGAGAAGTAGACATTTAAGGTCATATTCAACCCTAGTGCAAGCAGGTGCAACTCCATTGCCTTCAGTGAGATCTGCTGATGCCCCCTTGAAGTGGGAACTTGGTTTGGTCCCCACTAAATTCATTCTGGCAGCTGAATCCAGGATTGCATTTATGTATTTCTTGCAAGAAAGGATAATTCAATCCCACCACTTTTCTTTTTGTCCTTAAAAATAACCAGGCACGGTGTTTTGTTGTCACATTAGCTGCAACACCAGCCTGTGGAGCTATATGCATTCGTTGAGCTGATGTCATGCCAGGGCTGGAGGAGGATGGATGAGGGCAGGGAGATACAAGGAGGAGCTGTTGAGGTCTCTTGTGTGCTAGATAAAGAGTAACTTGGAGAGGAAAAGTAGAAGACATTGTTTCCCCCTGCCCTGTGTATCTCTGCATGAGAAACCTCAGCCTCCTCTCTGGTTGCCCTGTGGTTTCTCTCCCTTGGTGGGAGCAGCTGAAACCCCTGGAACCACCACTGCCAGTGTCACCCACAGCTTCTCCTGCCCCTCCAGCCATGGGCTTGACACTTCCACCCGCCTGCCACCCCTCTGGGCACATTTGCTGACCAGATCACACTGGAGCTCTGTACCAGTGACAGCTCTGTTAGAAGACAGGACCATGTGGACGTACTGGGAAGCTCCATAAGGTTCCAAAAATACTCTGAATGTTAATCATAAGAGCTGACAAAGTGGTCGAAGTATTGACAAAGTGGTTACCACAAAATGTTTCCATTATTGAAACATGTAATGTTTTTGTGGGTTTTTGTGTGTTTTTTTTTTTTTTTTTTTTTTTTTTTTTTTTAAGCTATCTCTACTCTAAGGATATTTTTTAAAATATTTTTGGTAGTTAATATGGAATGTATTATTTTGCTGAAAAGGTTTCTGGAAGGGGAGAGCTTTGTTTTATCTAATTTAAAAATTCTAGTTTATCACAATTGTTTTTATACAAGACACTATAGATACATCTTGTAGTTTATAATCTAAAAATAAAATCTCATCAAAATACTGTAGCTATTCTATTGTGGGCATCAATAAACAATGTATTTACTGTATATGGCTCTCCAAACATGATAAACCCTATACAAAGAGCATCTATCTTTATTGATAGGAACAGTTTCCCGTGTAAAGGAAATTACATGGAAAAATATGAGCCTTGTGTTGTTTGAAAAGTAACTCAGCTTGACAGTTCTGAGAAAATACCAAGACAATTATCACAAATCAGTAGCAGCATGTTATATACAAATTTAAAGAGAATCACAGGAATAAAAAGAAAACAGTAGTTATATACCCGCAAATCCTGTCATTTAAAAAAGCAAAAACTGAAAGAAATGTACAGGGCATTTGAAGGTTTGTTCTGCAGTGGGACTATCAAAGTTCAGTTCTCCCAACACTGTATCTTCTGTATTCTGATGAAGTTCGGATGGTTCAGAGATAAGGTTATGTTAGGCCTAGCTACAGTTTAACTTTTGGATGCTGCTCATCTCCTAACTGAAACGACGTACCTACTTTCCCAGCTGCAGATGAAAATGAATAATAATAATACTTGGCATTTACACAGAGCTAGGATCTGAAAGTTCTTACATCAAGTAAGACCTTACTCACCTTACCAAAGCCTGTAGTTGCATCTGCTGCACTTACATCAACTGGACTGTGTGGAGAGGTAAAACTCACTGTAAGAGTGACAAAATCTGGCTTACACCATTGCATATCACCAGAACACTTTGATCCTGACAAGTTTCTTAGATGTGAAGCAGGTAAGTATTATTATCCCCGTTTGACACGTGGAGAAACTGAGGCAGGAAAGAGCCAAGTATCAAATGTGCTCTCTCGTTTGGGATGTTTTAGTTGTGCCTATCCAACCCAGCAATTTTTCATATGTATGGAGCATCCTGAGCTCACACCCACTTAATTTAGGGCTAGGGATCATCATAAGGGTGGAAATCTGAGGCCCTGGGCCCTGGCTCCAGCCTGATTGATTTTAGGCAGCTACCTGACACTATAGAGCTACGACCATTGTCACACTGGTCTTCACTGGTAGCCAGGGAGAGCTGTGCACTTCTGCAGGCAGCACAGGATTGAACTGCCCTCTTGACAAGCATCGGCAACTGGCTGATATCTAAAGGGTGCATGTGATGAACCGGGCCCAGATAATTAAAATTTGCATCATGCAAAACTTGTGGCCAGATTTGAAGATTTGTTGGGAAGTGTTTTGTCCAAGGTGTCAGAGGGAATAAGTGTAAAAACTGAGGGAATCCTGACGCCTGGCTTTGTGCTCAGAGCCAGCAGTGGAAAACAGAATTTAAAAACGCTGCATATCTTTGAGGTCCAAATTATTTCTCACAGATTTAGGCAACTAACAGCATGATTTTGCATAGAGGTTAGATACCTTTTTTCTGGATGATTATGGATGCTCCAAGACCCGCTATCATGCCATGTGCCTGGGGTACTTCCATCCTTGCTCACTATTTTCCACCAGTGATGGCTCTTGCACTGATTGTGTGAGGGAAAACAAATGCTATTTTGGATCAGATGAGTGGCCAGCTAATGTCTCAAATCAGTAATAACCAACAACAATAAACAATGAAAAGCAGAATCTTTGTGGGGGTGGCATTATAATTTGGGCAGGTACATTCTTGGGAAGAGACCATGAAAAAGCAGTTTTCTAAAGTTGAGTTCAGTGCATCAGACACATTTCTATTTACTTATTTCCAATATAGAATTAAAAGCAAATATTCCCATAGAGTTTGCTATTAAATCTCAAACCGCTTCAATTCTCTCAGCTCACACATCCCGCCTAGCCTTCTCTCCAGCTGATTTGATCCAGTCATGTAACAAGGGTGTCAAGTGATTTATACAGTTAGTAGGAACTGATCTTGCTCTGGGGGTTTCTTCACCCAGGTGCCCAAACCGGCTTTCTGAAATGCTTTAAACAGCTGCTGCTTGACAGACTGGTACGTCTGAGCCACCAGCTTTGCCTCGCTGTACACTGATGGCATGTCTCCATGGCTTGGTACTCGTGTGCTCAGCTGCAGAACAAAAATCAGGGAAGGGGAAAAAAATAAAATAATAATAAAAAAATCAACCAGCGAGCCAAAAGAAACAGGAGGCTTCAGTAGCTGTATAATCTTCCTGTCTACATTTCATAAGCAACAAACAATCACTGTGCTTTGTGTGTTTGCTTTTGGTTTAACAACATAAAAACAGGGAAGCAATAAATGCCCGTGACATGGTTTTGAGCCATTGTGAAGAGGAACGGGGTAAACAGCTTTGACTTGGAGTGAGCGTAGGCAGTAGCAAATCTTGGTGTGTTTTACAAAGGCAAAACCCTACTTCTCAGTTAAGATGATTTTTAGGGACAAAAAAAGGGGAAAAATCTCATCTGGGGATCTTTAAAGAATATGCTCAGTTTAGCCTGGGAAGCAGAGCAGCTCAGTGCTTCCAAGTGATGCCAAGAGACACAGGAAGGAGGATCCCTGCCCACACTCTCCCCTTTTCCCTCTTTAATCTGTTGTTTTTGGAAATGCTGTGAAACCTGCCCAGGACAGGGCAGAAATCAGGCATCAGGATTTGTACTGGTGCGAGAAAACCAAGTGCTCTGCTGGGACTCTGTAGCCACCCACCGGGAGCTGCCTCGGGAGACCAGGCCACGTGCCCACTGCCCCTCGTCACCTGGAGCACGCAGGAAGGAGCTGGCACCCTCCGCTTTGCAGAGGGACTAAATAAATGACCTCCTCTGACCTGCCCGAGTCTTAACAGTGCTGAATGAGCAGTGAGGCTCTGACATTATATGAAAGAGATCGAAGTCTGGAAAATGCCTTAGAGCAAGCCAACGGGTGAAAGTCCAGTGCTTGCAAGCCAGGGAAATAGCACCCTGGAAGGAGAACACACCCTCAAAGCATGGCGAGCAAACAACACTCTTTTCCTTCTCTCTGAAAAGGAAAAATGCTGAAAGACAGATTAAAGGAAAAGGCGAATGCACAGACTGAAATGAGCTGCTCCAGCCTGCGTGGTGCCAGCACACCGTGGGGCTGCTCTGGCTGGGGGTGTATTGGCCTGGCCAGCAAGGGAGGGGGATGCTGCCAGCCCGGGCATCAATGGGCCACGAGCTGGCCTGGCTGGCGGTGGCTCCCCTCCAGCTGCCCCTTTGTTTCCCAGAGGTGGACAATGATGACAATCAAATTGATGATGAGTTTTTCCCTCCTGCTTATCCCAGCCCCATGCCTGGTGCAATCCAGGTGCAGTTCAGCTCTCCCAGCCATGGTCCTGGCCGTAGCCTGCCCTGGGGACCAGTTTGCCCCAGGTTTTGTTCCTCTGAGGATCCCTCCATTTTGGGGACAGCAGGATTGCTTCCCACCCCTCTTCCTGTGCCACCTGCTGTTGAAGAAATAGGCTGGGACCTGTGCCACCAAATTGTGACTGAGGCCTGGGCACAAAGCACACGTTGGTCCCTTCTGCTCCCTCCCAGGCTCAGGGTCCATGCTGAGGTCATGCCACTGCCTGGGATGGGATGAGTCCCACCAGCCTCCTTCCCTGGGGTCTCCTGCAGAGTAGAACAACCCCACTGGGCTTGTCCTCAGACCTCCCCACCCTGCCTGCTCGTTTGCCTTCCTGAATGACTTCATTGGTGGAAGTGGCTCCAGACTTCCCTGCTATCACTCTGCTTTGTTCTTTTTCACTCATTTCCCAACAGGAAAAAGGGGTTTTGGCACTTAATAAAATATTTTTTTTCTTGTCCTCAGCTTTTTCTTGTCCTCAGGACAATTCTTGACAAACCTTACAGCAAATTAATATTCTAGTAGTGAAAGTAGGTGGGCTGAAGAGACTGTATTTTCCTTGCTGCTCCTCCTGGAAGTGGTGGAGTCAGGTTCACCACCTTGGTATCTGTGTCCTCTCCCCCAGCCCCTCCTTGAAGGGTAAGGCAAGAGGAGAAATGGCAACTCCAGAACCAGGAGTAACGAGAGGAAAATTTCCTTATTCCACATACAGCTTCTTCCTACATGTCCTACATCCCTAGGCTCCACCCTGTAGTTTTTCACCATCCATCTGTCCTGACACTGTCTCCTGTCTGTGGGAAGTAACAGAAGTGCCAAGGCAGATTGAGTTCAGTGCCATTTCAAATAAGGGGAGTTCATGGCTATCTTCCCTAGAGAAAGCAGGGCTGTCAAGGGGTGGTGGCCATTTTAATTAAGTACAACCTGTAGTTTTAATGCTGTTAAATTGTACTGCTGCTGAGTGTAATGAAATCAGAGAGCTTTCAGCACCTGGCCACTGACCTTCAGAGGAGCAGCTGTATGTATGGATTTATCAGCATATCTGGGAGAGTGGGGAAGAGGAGGGGAACGGGCAATCCATAGCACCTGCTTTAGTCAACTAACTTGGGTGAGACTGGGAGACTCTTAGGTTCGGAGTCTAAACCCCTGTGGAACAGTGAAGAGAGGTAGATGTCTCTAAGGTGATGAGAAATACTTCCCTCAGGCCTCTAAGACTTAGTGAATTGAATATTCCCCTTAGAGTCAAAGGGATACCTGGGGTGAGATGCATAAAGAGTTACCCAGTTATGCTTGTATGGACACTTAACACTCTCTTGGCTTTTGACTGCTCCATTGCCAAGGACACTTAGAACACTCATGTCCCCTCCTAATCCACATGGGTTTCTGCCCTTGGCTTTCTCTGGACTCTCAGCTCCTAATCCTCTCCCAGCCCCTACCAGGAGGGATGCAGGACACCTGCAGATGCTGCAGCTTCATCATGAGATTGCTAAAACAGAGTTGACTTCAGGGTAAGGACTAGCCCACCTAGGGCTGGGAGCAGTGTCCTGTCAGTGCATCAGGCCTACCTTGCCATGAAGCTTTGCCCACCGAGTGAAGAACATGTGCTTGCAGAGCCGTGAGGGACTCCCACAGGTTCTCTTCCCTGTCGTGGCATTGATAACCTCCAGGTCGGCGTTCCCCACAATCCAGTTCACACTGTAGCTGGGAGATTTTCCGGGCTGCCGAGCATCAGCATGGCTAACCCCTGGCAGGAGAGAAGGACACCGGTAACATCCAGTGCTCAAAACCTTCAGATACTGTGGTGGGTTGTTGTGGCACATGAGACATCCTTGAGCAAACATGCTGGCATTGTGCACTGCACGTGCTGTTGTCACCATCAGTTACATGTTACCAGGCTGATTACCTTAGAGTGACATAATTTAGAAATTCCTATAGATCTTCTTCCACCTTGCAGGCAAACCTTTCCTTAGCCTAAGAAAATGTGTTAGATTGTAGTGTGTGCTATTGACAGTAGTGTGATGGTTGCTGAGTGAAATCTTTTCAGAAAGGCTTTAATGGGATAACTGCTTTTTAAAAGGAAATAAGCAGCAAAGTGATTTTGCCCTGAGTTCTTCCAGGTGAACTTTCCATGGTCCAGCATATTTATCTACTATTAACTGCTGGGGCCTTCACTGTGGTGGGAAGTCTAGATCACAGGGGCTAACAATGGGGGCTAATAAAATACAAAACATACATTTCATCATCACAGAGAGATTATTAGATCCAAGTTAATAATGACCTTGTAGACATCACAGACCTACACAGAAAACTCTTGTTCCTGACCTTGTGTCTGCCTGCAAGTTTCCTACCCTGTATGGGTGCAACAATCTCTTAAAGAGCTAGTTAGTGTCCTAATGGCAATATTTTGGACATCTTTAGATGGAATGCATCTTATTTAATTATAGACAGATATAATCATGATGTTTTTGGTCACTTGGGGTGACTGCATGACCTCGGTGTTATTCACATGGCCAATTTTTGACATCTGAATCACATATTGGAGTCCACTGCCTACATGGGTGAGATCTCCCTTGCCTCTAAATGCAGATCAGGTCTGCAAGGTCAGGTGTGGGTGTGTACATAAGAGAGTTTTTTTTTAATCATGTGAATTCCTATCTCTTATCCATTTAGTGTAGTTCATCCTTTCTGTGACTCCTATCACTTTCTCGTACCTGAAATCAGGGAAGGATTAGTCTTTGCAAGAAACAAGAGGAGTAGAAGAAGTGGTTGTTTTATTTTCCAGCACAGGATAAAAGCAACCAAGTGAGCTTTGCCTTGCCCTGCTCATTAGTGCTTTTGGGAGCAAAGAATCAACACGGTGAGCTTCCAAGGCTGGAAAAGACAGAGTGACCTGAAGCAGTTTGAATATTTTGGAAAATATGGGCCTTGGATGACGTGTCTGGATCCAGCTGTTGAGTCCCTCTCTGCAAATTTGCTGTGTGAGCCACTAGCCTGCAAGCCTGGACATCAAAACCACTGTGGTGAGCAAGCAGGTAGGGACCGTGGTGACGGGCAGGAGCTGCCTGGCCCAGCCGCCCTGGCACAGCCCAGCACCAGGGCTGGATTTCTGTTTCCAAACGGCAGCTCCCTCCAGAGCCCCTGCCTGCAGCAGCTCCAGCAACAGCTCATGGTTTGCACAGCTTGATGGGACCTGCTTTCATTGCTCCTGGGTAGAGGGCAACAGAGAAAGGTCCTTTGAATTTTCTGCTGAAGGGGTTCAAAGAACTTTGGCAGAGAGGGAGAAGTACTGATACGGGCTGTTCAGAGAGGAGGAGATTAAAGAAGAGAGATCAAAGCCCTTCCTTTCCAAAGTACCCTTTCTCACTCAGGGATTCAATTTTCGGAACAGACATACACCACGAGCATCTGCTGATCTCAGACAGAACAGGAGGAGATGGGAGCTGGTGACAACGCAGCATCCGTCACTGTGTTAAACACGCTGAGCTTGGTGAGCTCCTGAGAGAGACCACAGGAGCAGTGGAGGGCTGTGCAGGGTCAGTCGTGGCAGGGACACTGCCTCCGTATGCAGCTCCTGCCTCCTGCCTGGGGCCTCTCAGCATCACGGGAAGCAATGTCAGTGATGGACATTCTCCTCCTGTTCCCTCTGCCCTGTGAGGGAGCTGCAAGAGCCAAATGGGACTGAGCATGCACTGAGAGAGAAAGGTGGCCATCGAAGGGAAAAAATTATGTGGCACAACCACTTTGTATCGGTGGCAAAGCTGGAGTTGCAGAAATCATCTCAGTCACTGGAACTGAACTCACTACCGTGTGCAGAAGAGAATTACAGCTAAGTCATAACCTCACTCAGGATTTGTAAACACATTCATGTTGTATTAATACCTCTTTCAGTTCCTGTCCCCCCTCCTTGAGATAACAGATCAGTCTGCATCTAAAACTCCAGTTCACCTAGGCAACAGGATATAAACTGAGCCCTTGAAAATCAGATAGCTCTCTGGTGCTATTCAAATGCTTCTATACAGAACAAGATGCAAACAGATCAAGATCAGCTGTTTGACACTATGCACCACTCTCTGTCGAGATAGCACCCGAAAGCTTAGGGAACTGAGTGCCAAAAGACATGATAGCCAACACTGTGTCATGCAAAATTGCCACAGGCCACTAAAGCAGTAAAAATGCTGTGAAAACACTGACCAGAGGAAAAGAAGGAAAGGCTGCACAGAGGACAGAGCACTGTGGGTGTCCATCAGTGGGGTGTGTACACCCCTGCCCAGCCTGGGACCTCCCTCTGCTCTTGGTGGACATCTGTGAGTTGGGAGCCTGCCCCAGTGCCTGGAACACCCTCCGTGCTCATTTGGCTTTCATGCTTTCTCTTCACAGCTATCATATATAAGTACATGCATTTAAGTAAGTAGAAGATATTTTCACATAATTTTCTGAATTCAAGAAAAGGGGCTTTAAAGAAAACACCATGAGATTCATGACAGACACAAATATAGAGCCTAGATATATTTTCTGAGTGTTATTTTTGATCCTTTTTAAACATTTTTTCATGTTTTTCTTTTGATAAAGAATTGTTCTGATTTTATTTGAAAGGTAACACCCAAATAATCTTGATCATTTTCTCTCCTTTATGTAAAACATCCTCCTTAAAACCATCACAACAAAGAGTACAATAGACCGTAGAAACTGGAAGGAAAAGTCTTTGTACAAATAATATGAACTGGAATATTGTGGGATATAAACTGAAATCTGTCCTCATTCTCGTCTCTCTCCCAGCAAAGCCTCGTGACTCTTCAGAATACCATTTAGAATTGCCTCAATCTTAAGAGAAGAGAAAAAAAAAAATTACATAAGTCTTTTCTTTCTTCAAAAAAAATACACCCAGGAGTAACCCCAGTGAATAAGTGGATTTCCATCTGGTTAGGACTAGTGTAAGTGGAAAACCTCACTGATTATTTTCTTGTGGGGCCAAGGAGTTATCTCAGGATGTCTCATCCTATACTGTGAATCTCCTCTCCACTGAAATCTTTGTATTGCTATGATCAAATGACAAAATTGGCATGCTTATAATTGAAGGACTCCTGCAATTTGAAATCCCTGGCTAGTCTGATGCCTGAGAAGAGTGTGGGAGGTGGAGCTGACTGGCTGAGGTTGCTGAGGTTTGGTCCTTAAGGCATTTGATTTGGTTTTTGCTAGGTGCCCATCTCCTTGGTCATGGCATATGTTGTCAGCACAGTTTTCCAGGTGAGAGAAATGCAGCACAAGCCTCAGCAATATAAGTTTTAAGCAGTATTGGATTCCTGGGATTTGTGGGGGAGGAAAGATTACAAATAATGGCTTTAGAGAGAAAAACAATGTAGACAGAGAGAGACAGATTCCTCCCACTGCTTCTCCTGGGCTGAGGAAAGCCCACAAATATAACCAAATGCAAAGTGAAAGCTTTTCCAAACAGAAGTCTCCAGGAAGGAGGAAGCCAGCCATGAAACATGAATATATTTAAAGTGACACAAGAGCCCTCTTATACAATTCTAACTCCCTTGACATCTTTAGCAATGACTCTTGGACACAAATACACACTTGAGCCAAGTATGAGCCATTACTTTTACTCCACAAGGCCAACCTACCAAAGCAATAACTGTTCTGTGGATAAAGCCCTCATTGTGTTTTTGGTCCTCCAACAATTCAAGTGGGTTTCCCTGTGCATCCTGCAGACACAGTGGAAGTGAGTGTGATTTTGATCTTAATGTATGTATGGGCTTATAATGAGTTAGGGCTGGCACAGGATGAGAACAACTTCCTCAGTGGGAGATGCAAAGGCTTCTGGCAAACAAGGGTATGGTTCCAAATTAACAGCCAGGTTTGGGAAACAGGGGGATTTTTCCTGACCAGCTGTGAGTCCTTTTCCTCCTCCCACAATGTGGTGTGGAAAGGAAGAGGGGTCTGAGTCATACCCGTGCTGAACTGGGGCAGGAGGGACAGGAGCAGGCATGGGGTGGAGGAGAGGAGTGTGAAGTAGAGTTTCCTGCATACTTGCATTGCACAGTCTTTGGCTAGCTGCACTGAAGGGTTAAAAAATGGAGATAAGCTGTTCAAATAAGGATAAGCCTTTTGACCCACTCACCTCATAACACGTACATGTACATTACACTTCATTACACTTACCAGATGTGCTAAACCACACAGAACCTGAGAAATTCCCCAGTGGCTAAACTATCACTTCTGCCTCAGCCAAACTAATTTTGTCACAATAACACATTAAAAAAAAAAAAAAAAAAAAAGAACATGAAATAGATAATAGATAAGGGATAACATAGCACTCTCTTGACTGAGGAACCTAGAGGACTTTGAAAGGTGATGGTGTACTCTACTAAAGCATCCTGACTTCCCATCTCTGTAACCCTGACATCTCAGGGAACCCTGATGAGCAGTTATCACAGTCTAAAAGTCATATAAAGGTCTAATCCTGTGCAGAACACAGAACTGGTGTCACATGCATCATGAGGATCTCAAGGCATTCTATACTGTGGGATTTTCTGGGATGAGGCCAGACAGCTGGTGCCTGGCTGGTAGTTAAGGAACCAGGAGTCAGGAGGATGGAGAAGAAAGGACCAGAGATCTGGTGTAGAGAGAGAGGCTGGGAAGGAGAAGTGGTGGCAGTGAGAGTAGTGCAAAAGATACCTGGAAACTAGAGAGATGCTCATACGAGAGGCAGCAGCCTTGTCAGATGGCAGCAAAGTACCCCTGAGGTCTGCTGAGCAGGCAGGGTCTCCTGCATGAACGGACAGCCCTTTTCTCATGGCCATCTGCTCCAAACATGATGGCTAGCAAGTGGTGAAGGAGCAGGGGCTCTGAGGAAGGGGCATGGGTGGCAGGGATGTATGCACGGGACCAGAGATACAAGGTCTGGTTCTCCTGACTCCACACATTTGTGTGCTCACTGGGTGAGTAAGTTTGGAATGGGAGAGAGTTAAATCTAAAAGTTACTGAAAACTTCTCCCTGGTTTTTAGAAATTTTTCCCTTAGTCATACACTTTTTTCCACTTTGAGAAGTCTTTTTATAGTGTGAGTTTTCCTAGTCAGCTTATACAACTACTGATCCTTTTTGTCATCATGTAAAAGGAACTGGATTTAAATGTATCAGTTTCTTCATTCCACAAATTCAGAAAAAAACCCCAAACAACAGCATGGGCTAATGATTTACTTACAAACAAGTAAACTTCCCTGTTGGTGAATGGCACAATTAGGAATGGGAAAGGGGATCATTTGTCTTGCAGGCAGGTGTTTGCTTACCACTGAGAAGCAGCTGATTGCGCTGGTATGAAGCTGGCAGCTGACCAATGTCTTCTATTCTATGGCTCATTACCCGGGAAAGGTGACCAGTGTGATAGAGGCTTCCCACAATGATGCTGTGCAAGTACATGGGTTCGATGAAGAAACTGAGGAGAGCACCCTGGAGCCCAAGGATGTTCCATCTGGAAAAGAAATTCAGGAGAAATAAAACACATGGGTGGAGGAATGGCCACAAGAGAGCTGCCCTGGGAAAAAAAGCAAAGGCCAGCACATGGGTTGGAGGGATAAGGGGTGAAACCATTCCTGTCTTTGTCCTATGATGCACGAAGCACTGCACTGTTGGGTTATTATACACTTGCAGACTGATTCCTCTATGATCACTTTAGATTACTGTGATGCCACTGACTTAAGGGATATATTTGTCTTGTGTTACTGCAAACAGAGGCCTCTTATTGAGACCTATACTTGTATAAAATAATTTTCTGTTTGATGAATGTTCACTTAGCATGTCTTTAGCAGAATTTCTTTTTTTTTTTTTTCTGCATCTATAATTTTATGCTTGCAATGGTAGAGCTAAAATGAATGCTTTGGTTATTCTACTTTTATTTACCATTTGTCATACATTAGTACCATCCCTTAGTCATGCAGCCAAGATAACGTGCATTAGGTGGCCAAAATTCCCACAAAATTGTTGTGAATAATTTTCAAAAGCCTCATATGCTGACATTTCCTTGCACAAATGATCATGCAGATATGAAGATGTTCATAGAGTCAAATCCTGTTCCTGAACAGAAAAAAATTAGTTACTCTTTTAGGCAATTTATTTGTAATGAATAGTTTGATCTACTCTAGAGTGTTGAGTGATGGATATCTCTCAGCCTATTGCTCTCTTAAAGGTGCAACAGAGTGATGATAGAAACCTTGGGGCCTTCACCTGTTAATGACCACGAGATCCACACTACTGATGTTGGATTAGTTGCCAGAACTATTCTGCATTTTCATAGCCTATGAATTTTTTTATCAAACTAGGCACAAATATGACAGGATGCTCTCTCCAAATTCTTAAGGGGACAGGTTAAAAAGTGGAAAAATTAAAAAGGGGAAAGAAGTCATGATGCACTTATCTTCTTGGCAAACCTATTTAACTCAGCCCATCTAACAAGAAGCTGTTTCCCACCACACAAACACTAACACGCTCTCTTACACTTGGATAATATTTTTATATAAGTTAAATGCTGTCAACCTGTTTTTTGAGTTCAGGAATTCAAATTGAAAACGATTCAGAAAATGTAGTTTTGGAGAGTGCATTTTGGTGCATTAGAAACCAAAACACTGGCAACATTTGGAACTCTCTAGCTGACTGAAGGAAAAGGTAAGAGGTGCCTGCTATTTAAGGCAACATCCAGTGCCTGCCATGCTAAATAATGTGTTTAAAGCACAATCTCCATCAGCAGCAAGCATTATGTAGCTAATTTCTTACATCATTGTTCTTTTCATTAATTAACATTTCTCAACCGTTAGTGCAATTATTTCAGTGCCTTCGTGCTGTATGTCTCTTTTCATGATTAATAAGGAGTCATTATATTTCCCTTTCCTGAAGCAGTCAATTAACACAGAATACTTTCCATTAATTACTGAATGTTTAAAACCAGCATGCTGTACCTGGAGAGCAATCTGCTCTAGGAACCTGCGACACCAATTGCTTTAAAAAGTTCTCTTTAAATTTTATTCCAAAAACACAAGCAATTTAGCTGGCTGTATTAATTTGCCTCCGAAGCAGGGCTGTGAATGAGAAACATCTTTTAATCTCATGCAAGAAAAGGCAGCCATCTGGCTGCTGAGGATTTCAGAGTCAGACTCTCCCTGTCTTCCTCTGTAAATGCAGGTCATTAAAGTAATGTGTTCATCTACATAAAACTCAAATGGAATATAAAAGGTAATATTTATATACAAACAATTTAGTCCCACAATTTAAACAGTCATTGGTTTTATGAAACATTTACTTTAGTCGATCAGATTTGCATAACTTCATTTTGGGAAAAAAAATTGTGGTCATTCCTGCAAATAACATAATTTTTAAAAGAAAGAACTAGCTGCTTCTTTGAGTAAATATCTTATCATGATGCAAAATTAATAATGCAAGCTTAAGAAATAGAGTTGAGTTCAGCTAACAGTATTATGCTTCTGACCATCTTCTAAGGCAAGTAAAAAAATCAGTGATATCTTTGTCCAGATGGAAACTTGTAAGATATCAGTGTTTTTTTCAACATTTGACATTTCCTTAAAAAAAAGAAAAACTTGTATATTTGATTGAAGGAGAGAAAAAAACAGCTAAACAGAAAAACAACATATGTTCAACAATATTTGAATTTTAGCAATATGCACATCACAAGAAATCATCTGAGCTTTATTTACCAAAATAGGGGATTGTGTTCAGATCACAAATTACAAAGTAATAATGATTATTTAATTTAAATTCTTTGCAAGGAACCTGCTTTTTCTTTAGAGATAGTCCTCTGCCTAATTCTGAACATGTTCATTTTAGTGTAAAAAGGGATTCGGATGTCAATGGAATTACATTATTGGAAAGCACAGTATAAGCATGATCAGGTCATCCCCTATGTATTAAAAGCATTTAAAGAACATTAATTAATTGTCACACTGCTGCTGTGAGGTAGAACCCCATTTTTATACACCCCAGGGAACCACGGCAGAAAGGCAGTATGATTTGCTGAAGTCTGCTGCATTATTTGGAGGCAGAGTTACAGTCCATATCTTCTGGATACAATAGTTGTTTCTTGAGACAACTCTGGTTTCCCAGCCCAAAAGAAGACCCAGCCAGCCGTAGGGACAATGAAACTTCTATATTAGCCATGGTGGGTTTTGACTTCAAGATATAAGTAAATACAACAGCAATTGGACAGAGGAGCCAGACCGAAAAAAACAAGAGAGAAGAAACATAGCAAGCAAGCTGTGCCTGGTGGGTAGAAGGTGGAGTAAAAAGAGACTGTCCCAGAACCAGACAGCATCCTATGGCCAGAAGGACAGAGAAATCAGAAAAGGTGCTGACACTGAGAATGCAATATTTGGTGGGAACTGCTTGCTGGGTCTTCTTGAACAATGCCAAGGCTGGTGTCTGCCGTGGTGGTGGTAGTGAAATGGGGTGAGGGTAACGGCACTGCCACCTGTACACTGGCCACCTCCTAGTTCGACACAGCACTGTTTTAGCAGCATCCATTCAAGAGAAGAGGGATGAAAAAGCAGAGAAGGAGCTTTGCTTTCAAGTCTAGCCCAGGTTCAACAAAGTGTTTGGCCAGTTGTTTCTTTCTGGAAAGCAGCTCTGAGCACATGCATGAGTCCCACTAAGTCAGCACAAGTCCTAGGAAAAGAGAGGTCCTGTGCTGAGCTGGCCAAAATAAGACCCTTGCACGGCCACTCCTGTCTTTCAGAGCACATTAAAACACATATTAATGATGGGGGAAATTTTCAGTTACTCATTCTGCTTCTGTTCTGTGGATAAAAAGACCTACCTTGGAGGGCAGCCAGTTCAGTATTTTGCATAAACAATAGATTTAACTGACAAATATTTTGGGGAAGGTCTTTTATCCTGTGTATTGTTCATCCCTTGATCAACACGCATGGCTAATGTACTGACTCTGTCCTTTGCTATCTGAACATCTATGGGATTATTTGTAGGTAGATGATAGGGAAAGATCTGTCTGAGCACCAGTGAAACTATCAATAAGGGTGTTCATTTTTGAAGAAGCTATTTCTCTGTAGCCTAATTTAGGTCCATGAAAGTAGCTGTGTTCCCATCTGTAACAAAGTGCTCTCTTCAAATGTAGCTTTTCAAAATAAAATTATTATTCAGAGCAATGCAGTGTTACATTTTGAGTCCTCAATATATCAAAGTGACTTGTCTCGCTATGAGGAAATATGCTGGATCATTCTGAATTTTCCTAATTGTGCAAGATTTTAAGGGCTGTTTTCAAGGGCACGCATCTCTCTAATAACTTGTATGCTGTGCGCTTCATAATAACCCTTCCAATAAAATGAAAATCAACTCACTGCTCCCTTAGTCACAGATCTTATTTAAAAAACCCTAAATCTTCAGCAAGCAGGATCAATAAAACCAAATGTCTTCCCTTTTCACTTAAATATGGGAGATTTTGGTGCTAAATGGAAGGAAAGTATACCTTTCCTTTTGTTCAAACAGCAGATATTACTGCACTGTTTACAAAGACAAAATCATGTGTCTGGTTCTCAATATAGATAATCCTTAAATAAATATATTTTTGCCTGTTTGTCAATCACAGAAATGCCAGCGAAGAGCTGGAAGTCATCCCAGACCAGGCAGCTTTTCTTTAATTAGATGCCATGCTCCCCTGGCCCTGGGCGTGGGGTGGGCTGGGGTGTACAGAGCCTCCCACTCAGCTTCCACACTCCTGGCAGCATGGGACCACCGGCAAGGTGCGCAGGGAAATGTGTCCCCAAGTCATAACCACATCACTGTCTCCACACCTGCATGCTGTAGCACCTCACCACAAGGGTTGGCCATGGCCCCTCCCTGGCACCAACCGAAACATGGATGATAAAAGTGCTGAGGAAGGTGCTTGGGGGCAAACCCGCAGCAGTGTGGAGGGCTGCAGCCTCACGCGGGTCTGCACGTGGCTCCTCGCCCATGGCTGAGACATGGTGTGACACCTGGAGCCCCTTCGCTGAGTATTTCCAGCATCGGTTTGCACATAGCGCTACTCAGAGCTGAAGGCTGACACGCTCCTGCCCTTGCCCTTGAACCCCTTCGAAACAGAGATGTAGAGAAAATCACATGATGCTTCTAAACATCACCTGCCACTGAAGCTTGGTGAGACTGAAGTGTCTCCTCGGGACCTTTGGAAACCTCAACCCTTAAAAAACACTGTTGATGAATTTCAAAGCTTATTTTGTTAAGGCTTTTTATAAAAGAGACTTTTTTTTTGGTCTTTATTAGGGGCTTTAAGTCTAACCTGCTTGGTCTGTTGTTAACCTCCTGTACCACAGCTTCTATTACCAATATTTCCAGCTATGCTTCACACAGTATAAATTGTTATTCATGGTGGCCTGTGCTCAGCAGAACACCTGTGGTGTTCCTATTTATATGACCATTTAGCTATTATTGGTTTGGAAACTGGAACTAGTGCAT